ACACCAGTGCCAAGCGTCAAGGGTCCATGCGGTCTCTACATTAATAAGCGAAACGATAGCAATACGTCTTCCAAGATCAGGTGACTCTCAGCACTTGTAAGACGTTGGCCAAACTGAGCGCGACTTAGATCGATGCGTCGGCCGCAGGGTAGGAGGTACTAAGTGACGGATGACCCGCCTCGGATGTCGCGTCGGTTATTTGCAGTGTGTACTGGGGTTTTGGTTGGGTAGTTTGTTTTCAAGACACTTGCAAGGACAGCTGCTTTAAAGGTCGTTTCTAAATTATAATAATAAGTCTGAAAAAAAAGCTGATGGTTGATGATGAAGAGCAGTGACGATGATCATCAAGGTGGTAGAGTCACTGTGGAATATCATAAATTTTCCTTTTTCAGTGACCAAAAGACTAAAACAATTTTAATATTGACTTTTTTGGACTCAAAGTCTTAGTCAACTCAAATACTACGTGACAAACTCCAGTAATTTTTTATTTATAAATTATCATTATCACCGATAAACTTTTTAGCTTGCAACTAAAAAGTTTCTAAGATTTCAAAACGCTCTCCTATTAAATACATACTTTCCAGCATGGTAAGTTTGCCGTGGATGTGACGATATCTAAGTTTAGAAAATGCAGTACTTGTGGTGTAGTCAATGTAGAGATATGAAAGTTTATATTTTAGTAATGCATTATCACTGACTCTTACATTACTGAAAACTCAAACCTATTATTTACCAAACTAAATCAGGCGTCCGCAGCGACTATATTTCACAAAGCCAAGACTGTTTCGGGAATTAAGCTACAATTAAACGCTCGTAAATTTCAAGTTTGGGTTTTGGTCGGGTCACTTCGGGGAGCCCGGTGGCAATTTATCAATTATTTACGCCGCTTGGTCCCGGCGCGGGCGGCGTCACCTGTCCTCGCAGATTTGTTGATCGACGAGTTTGATAATTCGATTAGTGTAATAGATAAGTAAACTGGTTTTAAAACGGTGGAGAAAACTGTTGTGAACTTCTTTGAGGTCTTTATCCTTAGCTTGTCTTAAAAGTATAATGAGTACAGAGAAGTTAAACATTTTGTCACTCTGTATTGATGATATTTTTGACTATGATTGTCTTATTGTTTACAGAGAGGCGAAACGTTTGAAAGTCTATGAATTTTATGCTGTTTTAACTTTTAACTGAACATACTTACTAAGTGGTCTTTGAAAACGATGTTCACAACATCAAACGACTTTGACAATAATTAAACACGTCACTTTCAGTAACCAACCAACCAGTGACAAAAATTAAAAATATTCACGCATAAAATAAAATTGGCCGTCCGTCAGAGCCAAATCGCCCGCGGCCTCCACACAAGCCTATACTGTAAAACCAACCAATTATAATAATAATAATAATAATAATAATAAAGTCCTTTATTGCTTCTACAACATACTTATTCTATTCTAGTTATAATAATGTTGATTGACATAATATTATGAGGAAGCAATTGGAGGTGGCTCAGCTAATGCTGCCTGAAAAATACTCAGGCTGCGCTGATTTTCAGCCACTCCCATTTCTCTATAGGTCTTATGCGAGAATTGGGTAATGAGGGCTAATAGTAATACATTTTCAAGTGGCAATTAAAAAAAAAAAAATAACAAGGATAACTAAATTTGCGTTTTGTCTGCACAATTGTGTTGTGTGATTGTGTTTGAAATGTGAATGTGTGTGTTATGTGTGTGAAAGTGAGTGTGTGTGTGTTATGTGTGTGAAAGTGAGTGTGTGTGTTTAATGTGTGTGAATGCTTTTCTAGAAATAGTCTTTCAGGGGCAGTGATTTCCAGTATCCATGATATAAGTTTTCCGCAGCCAGCTGTTTTCTCAATAAGGCTGCTTTGTATTTAACTTTGAAGGTTTGAGTACTCATCCTAACCTTCATGGGAGGTGGCAGAATGTTCCAAATGCTGGCTGCTCGATACTTAAAGGACCCTCGAAACCGCGCAGAATTATGTTTGGGTATTTTCAGGAGGTTAATTGTCTTCGTGCGTAAACTTCTTTCAGTCTTATCTTTGGCCCATTCGAGTTTCTCAAAAAGGTATTCAGGTTTTTTGCTCCAGACTACTCTCTGAATAATGCAGGCATATTGCAGTTCTCTCCTAGCCTCCATATTGAGAATTCCTTTTCGGTTTAGGTATGGTGTTATTCGTTCTCTTCTTGGTACATTATAACAGAAACGAATACAGGCATTCTGCACCCTTTGTATGGCTCTTTCAGTTCGTACGTTTAACCTGGGACCGATTACGGGGCTACAGTAATTAAAGGGCGAGAGAACAAGTAAGTCGGACAAAAGCAGTCGAAGCTCCTCTCTTAGGTATGGTCTAATCTTGTAAAGAATTTTAAGCTTGAAGAAGGCGTTTCTAATTTTGCCATTTACATGGTCTTCATATTTTTGTTCTCCATCCAGTAACAAACCCAAATTTCGCGCTTGTTTTACTTTGTCAAGAACAACATCATTAATATAAAATTCTTCATTGCAGTCTAGTACTTGTTTTATCTGGTTATTTGTTCCCAACAGCACTACTTGTGATTTGTTAGGATTTAAGACTAGAGAGTTGTTCTCGGACCATTTTGTAATGTTTCGTAGATCATCGTTTATTTTTTTTATCGATTCTCGTATATTTTTTGCTTCGAAGGAGTAGTATAATTGTGTATCATCTGCATACAGGTGATATTTACAAGTCTCTATGCATCGTGGGAGGTCTGCCGTAAAAATCGTGAATAAAACCGGACTCAGTATCGATCCCTGTGGTACGCCTCTGTTAACTATTTTTGAAAGAGAGAGCATCCTCTCGCCATCGGGCTTAAGAGTCACTACGGTTTGTTCTCTATTCAATAGGAAAGTTTCGAACCATTTACAAGTGTTAGTTGAAAAACCGTAGTGTCTCAATTTTTCCAATAAAAGGTGTGGGTGCAAGCAATCAAAAGCTCTCGTATAGTCCAATAGCACCAGCACACTACTCAACCCCCTATCTGAGGCCTCTGTGAGGTCATCCGTGACATGGAGCAGGGCTGTTTCTGTGCCATGTCCCCGGCGGAAGCCAGACTGAAATCGAGGTATAACACCATTGCCCTCTAAGTATTCTATAACTTGATTTAATACTACCCTTTCCAATATTTTGGATAAGACTGGCAATATGGAGATAGGACGTAAATCTTTTAGATTCTCTACAGCTTCTTTTTTAGGAATAGGCCTTATTAGTGTTTTTTTCCATTGTTCCGGGAACGTGTGGGTTTGAATAGATTTGTTGATGATGGCTGTGATAATAGGAAGCGTTCTGTGTAAGGTGAGTTTTATCATTTTTATATTCAAACCATCCTGTCCTGTAGAGTTTGTACTAATGTTGTTAACAATTCTGTAGACGTCTGCCTCTGTCGTTGGTTTCAAATCAAAGATGTTAGTTAACTTTGGTGTCTTCATATTGTCAGAAACGCATTCCAAATCTACTTCTTTGCAACTTGGTAGGGTCAAAAAGTGATGAATTATACTATTTGGGTCGTTGATGTGGTCAGGTATACAATAATTCTGTGTGTTATTCAAAACAGTGGCATTTTTAATATTTTTCCATAGATCCGTCGGTTTTTTTAAATTGTTATTTATAGAATAATTAAAATATGCTTTTTTCTCGAGTTCTATTGCTTTGGTTACATAGTTTTTAAGGCTTTGATAGTACTTTTTTGCTGTATCTGTCCTAACTTTATGAAATCTTTTTAGCGCTTTGTCTCTTAAATTCATAATAAATTTTATAGTGTCCGTTATCCAAGGCTTATTTTTGTCTTTAATCACTATTTTTTTCTCTGGTGCATGTAAATCAAACAATGTTAAAATATAGCCATTAAAGGTTGCAACCATATCATCAACATTCTGTTTTTGGGTGATAGAAAGCCAAGGGATTGAATCCAGGTCTTTTTCAAACAAGTTTGGGATTATGTTATGGAATGGTCTTTGCAATACCACCTGTTTTTTAAATTTGGGCTTCTTTATATCAAAATCAACTATAACTGTAGCGTGATCACTCAAAGAGTGATTATGCATCACCATTACATTTTTACAACGGGAAATATCATCAATTAGTACTAAATCCAGGATTGATGCCGTACTGTCGGTTACTCTGGTTGGTTCATTCACCAGTTGCTGAAGGTTGTGTTGGGTATAGAAAGTTATTAATTCTTTGGCTTGTGCTGTCTCTGTATTGCTGAGATTTATATTCAGATCACCCAATAAGCATATATAATTACAACGGGACATAACATTCACTGATTCGCTGAGTGAGTCTAAAGCATCCCGGACACAGACACTCTCCGGTCTATAGGCTGTGCCTAGCGCTAAGGTCCCGCCGGGTAAACGAACCTCAAGCCATAGTTGTTCCAATGTTGAAAGAGGATGCTGCCTTATTTTAGTGGTTAGTCCCTCCTTCACGTAGAAACCTACACCACCACCTCTGTTACCTTTACGGGCTCTGTGAATTAATTTGTAGTGAGGTACATCCGGTGCGAGGGCCTCTTCTCCTTCACGAATCCACGTTTCATTAACCGCTAGGATATCAAATTGGTACTTTAGAATCGTAACTATGAGTTCTTCTTGGCCAGTATTCAAGGATCTGGCATTTAGGAGCCCCAATCTCAAACATTTTCCTATTTTATTAGCCATGAGGACTGAAAAAAATGTGCGTGTGATTATTATATTTAGGAGCATTAAAGCGGTGATGTAGTGTGTAATGTGAGTATGAAGAAACACAATAGCAGTGTGAGTGTCTTATGCTATGTGTAGTGTATAGTGAAGTTGTGTATGTGTGGTGTAATAAAGTTGTCATGTGTAATCTTATTTTTGTAACAAGTAATTGTGCGAATACATGTATTATGCTAATTATATTTTGTATGCGTGCTTGAGGATTTTGAGGAGTTCGAGTGTTGTGTACAGACAAAATATACAAAAAGGTGTGAAACAAATCTGTATTATCAATATTAGTATAGAAAAGCAATCCCAAGCAAAAGTTAGGGAGATCAAAGGTACCGTCCAACCAAAATAAGTATATTAGCTCAAACATCAAAATTCTCCAAAAATCCGTTTCAAATCAGCCTCCGATTGTATCCTATGCCGTGCTTTGCCATCGTCCTGCCGGGCGTAGATTTTACCGTCTCTTGTCCAGACATATTTGAAATTCTTGGATCGGGAGATCTCTCGTGTTTGCTGGAATAGTTGTCGATAGTGTTTAGTGAGCCTTTCGTTAATGTAGACCGAACACGCAGGCCCCGATACAGGCAGGCCTTCGGTGGTGACCCCGCGGCGCACGCGTGCGGCTTTTAACAGCGTGTCGCGAGTGTCTCGGCGAGTTAGTCGCACGGCCAGGGGGCGCGGCCGAGCTCGAGCGGCGCCCTGCTGTGCCGATCTCGGAGGACCCACTCTTTCTGCGCTCACTACTTCTTTCGGGTCTAGGTCAACTCCGATTTTTTTTGCAAGGGTGACAACGACTTGTGTGCCATTCTCGTTAGCCTCTTCTGGATAGCCGGCTATTTCCACGTCGTTTAGCAATAGCATTCGGTCACGCTCCTGTATTTCCACTTCAAGATTCAAAATTTTGCTTTCAAGGGCTGTAGTGTCACCAAGTTTACTCTTCTGGCTTTCCAGATCTTGCACTCTGGTCTCTAACTGCTCGATACGATTGTTTTGTTTTCGTATGGTTTCTGTAAGCTCTGCTATAGCCTCCCTTAAGCTGTCTGTCTGATTATTGATAAGTCCAGCCATATATACTTTTAATTCAGTGATTAAATCTTTTTGAGCCGTAGCCTGAGCGCAAGATTCCGGGCTCGATATTTGTTCTAATCCCGGCGTTTCGTCTGAGGATCGTGATGTCTTCTTACGGTGGGTAACGTTATGGTCTTCGTTTTTCCTATTCAAGTCCGGGTCTTCCTGTGTATTTTGTGGGTTAGGTCGGACCGGTGTGTTTAAATTTCCAGTTTTAGGTCTTTTACTCTTGCATTCCGGGCAGCACCACTGATCTTTTTTTTCCATAATCTTAAAAAGTCCGAAAGAAACGTTAGCGCACTCCAAATCATACTTGTATTTGCAAACCATACATCGTAAGTATTCTCTTCTAGGTATGGGTCTCTGGCAGCCAGCGCATGTTTGTGTAGCACTCATTTTCAGTCTGGTTCTGTCGAAACTAGAACGTAAACAAATCAGTGCCAAAGGTCTAGTAGGTACTTGCAGCGCCCTCTGTTGAATTCTGCACGTAACAGCTATTGCAAAAGCAATATCAATCAATGGAACTCGCACACAAAGGCAAAGTCAGTGCGCGGTTGTTAGATCAGTCGATTTCTCATAGATGGCGCTATTCAGTATAACTTGAGTGTCTTAAATGTTCTAGCTGCTGATGACACATTAAAATTAGGTTATAATGTTTTTCACTTTTTAAATCAATGATAATCACATACACTAATACGTTCCAGTTCTTCGGCGGGTGGCACTTTTTCGTGTCTGGTAGTTATTTTTCCGCAGGGGATCCGGAATTGTTTCATAAGTTATCGTTTGTGTTCCGGTATTTATTATCACTATTTCACTGTTTAGACGATGAACTTCTCCGGAATTACGCGTGTGTAGAATTTTTGTAACATATTACACTTCACACTGGCGTTTTTAGGCTTGGTAAATTACTTTAAACTATATAAATAATGTTTTTCACTTAGATCGATGTTAATCCGCGCACAACAGCGCCCTCTCTAACTAAACATGTATTGTCAAAAGTTACTTGAAAACAATGAAAAAATACTTTTCAAAATAAAACACACGTGTTTGTTGTCACGGCAAAAACCACATGGCCGATATTAATTTATTTTAGTTGTGTATCGCTGAGTGTTGCAATTACAGACATTCAATAAATACTTTACGAAATATGAGGGTGGTACAATTTACCCGGCGGTACAATATACCGAACTCTCCCCTAATACTTTGCAGTCCTTGGTGTTTAATAGTAATTTCAATTTGTTACTTGTATAATTGGTATTGAAAAAGACAGACGGACAACTAATATTATTAACGAATATTATTATTAGATAGGGAATTGCCTTACATTAGGATTATTGCTAATGATGTAGCCGCTTTGTGGCCAGATGTGAAAAAGTTTGGGAAACTCAGCACTAAGCAACACAATAGCCCCTTGTCCGCGTTCAGTACAAAAGGCGGGATCAATTTTAAATGAAGACTCAACCTTTCCCGTACTAAAGGAAAGGTTAGCACCTAGAGACCCATAACGCGTTATAACTAGTACGGCATATCAAGCTTTACAACAGTAGCCTTAACCCGTTGCAATAAAGGTTATTTTGCAACAGGAATATGTAGTTTAATGTGCCTGTATATACCGTTTGAACCTTGCGAACATTTTCTTGTAATAATTATGTACTGCTGCGTAATTAATGGTTCTTGAACGAATATTTAAAGAGAACAGTCAAATGTTTGAGGAATAATAATTTGATTATAGCCTCCAGTCAATTTCGATATAAAAGTAACTCGATTTTTAGATAAGACACACAATAGGTACATCATAGTGGAAAATCAGTTTGTGTATCTATTCTCTCTCTGGTGTAGTGAGCACCTGCCTCAGACCCTAAGATTCCCTGGTTTGATTTGGTTTTTGAGATTTTGGAGTTGACAGGTATGATTCCCAATAAGGGCAAAGTTTTCGCTCGGTTTGCTTGACTACCCACCACAATCTTTTTTTTTTATCTTAGCTATCCCCCGCAGACAGCTATCCCCCGGGAGGCCGGGACTACTCAACCTTCACTGGTTGGGTTTTATTCGAAGACAAGAACTACGACGCCTTAGTAAAAAAACTGATGACGTTATTTATAAGTACCATCTTAGACGGCTTTTATTTTAACTCTATCGAATAAAAACATCTTTTGCTGTAGTTAAATAGTAAAAAATTAACTACAAAAAATTACTTCTTGGACAACCCCGTATTTTAAACCTCATTTATCGAAGTGCATCTAACCAACGCATATCTTAGTCCATATTAATTTATGGGGTTCCAGTACACGGTTTGCACACTAATCCTGCTCCATTCAAAGTGGGCTAAACCCCCATTGATTTATTGCTGGCATTAGTTAGCGTTGCGATTAATCGATTGTCGCATAATATCGATATTGCGTACGTTACGTCACAACGAATAAAACTAAATCAAACAAGAAAACAGTTTTTGGAATATTCTCGGTAATAGCACAGAATAATAATAAGTAGGTACTACGTAACTAATAGAGACTTTTAAAATGTTGCCTAATAATCCCGCCACTCATTCTCACTTTATACCTAGCTATTACTTCTGTCTAAGGATTTTCAAATCGGTCAATGCATCAATTACTTATCCTGGTACTTTACTTTTTTATATAAATTTGCTTAAATAATCAGAAAGATTTATTATTTTAAGAAGAAATAATCAGAAGTAAAATCCATGCGCAAAACTTTTCTTTTTGTTGACGGGTATTATTAATCTTACTTAAAAATGTAGATGTCACCGTAATATTGTGAATTCCGTCAGATTATAATCTTACGTAGTTGGATTACAATCTAACCTAACCTAACCCACTGTTAGTTTACAATCTCACGCGTTATATTGTAAACTGACGGAGTTTACAATTTCGCGTTGACATAGACACTACAAGACTTATTAAATGTGTTGAGTTGATAATTCCGTTCTCCTCACCTTTTGCTCCCAGTGCAATTCGAATGCGAAACCGCAGCTAGCATTCTAAACTACGCGTTCATCGCACTTGGGAACTCAACGACGTTAAGTTGGAATATGAAAACCGACAAATTTAATGTGGTCAGACTTTCGCAAAGCATTAGCAAATGCTAAAAGCACTGCTTAAATACTGACAAACTATTTGACCGTTGATGACTCTTCCTAGAATAAAACCTATAAAAAATCCGGTCCACATACGACATTGCACACACAATTATTCGGTTTACGTACCTACCTATTTTATAGAGCTGTGATACTTACTTAATGCATTTTTAACGTTATTTATATTAATAGTTTTTGCCCGTGGTTTAAGCAGAGTAAATTGCCTTATGTTACTCAAAAATAATGTATCTACTCGTATCTAATGGTGAAAGAATTTTTGAAATCGGTCCAGTAGTTTTTGACTTCATTCTTTGTAAATATACAAAAAGAAATCTTTCCTCTTTACAATTAAAGTATATCAACAACAAATTGAACAAGTCTGGTCTTAAAATACCCATAAAGTGATAGAGATGTTAGGTTTGTCGATAAACATGGGATTTTTAATCGATATAGTAACTTTACATCACTACAAATAGTGGACTTGTTATCCCCTGAGGACGACTCTAATAGCCGGGTTCGCATTGCTAAGTGATACCAATTGAGCCTCATAAATCTATGAGAGAATGCAATGAACAATTTAGCGATGACGTCATTTAATGGCCTTTTTGCGATGACGTCATTTTATACTCTTATTTTATAACTAAACTGTGGTTGCAGCTCGACGGCATTAAGCAAACATTATTGTGATGAAAACCCAACTGGCAAATGTGGGGTAGTGTAGACCAAATTATCATTTTCGTTTCCACCAAATCGCTGCTGGATTAAGGCTTCTCCCATAGGTTTCCACAACGGTTGGTCCTGGGCTGCCTACATGTCATTCCTATGACTTTCACCAAATCGTCGGTCCAACGAGTGGGAAGCCTGCCTGCCTACACTACCTTTTCCGGCCTTAACGGTCATCAGTTCTACAAGCTATGTGCCGCCTCCTCTGCCACTAACTCGTAAGTGTAATTCTGCGGGCTATGTTGGTTACTTTGGTTCTCTCCTACGGATCTTCTCACTTTTCAATCGATCGATTTTGATTTATATTAAGCACATCATAAGGTTAGTTTCCTATAATTAGCATCTTTTGGGCAGAATTAGTAACAATATTCGTGTAAGATTAATCAAAAAGACCTTCTAAAAATCGGAATCTCAATTCGAATTCCATATGATTTAACACGTCACATGCCGTTAACATATACCTTTGGCAGACCATGGCTCTTGGTCTTGTCATCCCATGACGTGGATGTATGGCCGGGTAAGCGGGTGATTTGTGGGCAGCACTGGTTGGAGAGGGCTATGCTTGGTGTTTCTTTGCGAGATCGAATCAGAAATGAGGAAATCCGTAAACGAAGTAAAGTCGCTGACATAGCCCGACGGATTAGCAAGCTGAAGTGGCAATGGGTAGGGCACATAGTACGAAGAACTGACGGCCGATGGGGCAGCAAGGTTCTGGAATGGAGGCCGCGTACCGGAAAACGCAGCGTGGGACGTCCACCTACAAGGTGGACCGACGACATCGTATAGGTAGCAGGGAAGCGCTGGACGCAGGCCGCTACCGATCGATCAACGTGGAAAGCATTAGGGGAGGCCTATGTTCAGCAGTGGATGTCCTATGGCTGAAATGATGATGATGATGATGACTGGTTGGCGAAGATGTGTCCGTATTTATAAGAGCATTCTGGTTTCTAAGTACTATTCTCAGGAACTACTGGTTTGTTTTAAGTGCTTGATAGCCCAATTATCGAGGAAGGCTATGGACTATAACATCATCCTACAGTCAAATAGGAGCGGCGCACTAAAGAAAAATGTCGCAAAAACGGGAACTATTTTTTCAAACTATTTTCATGTGTACGCATTCGCGGGCACAGCTAGAGACACCTATCAAATATAGGAACTTCAACTAACGTTCCATATGATTTAACACGCCACATATTAACATTTGGCAGACCATTGCACTTGGTCTTGTCATCCCATGACGTGGATGTATGGCCGGGTAAGCGGGTGATTTGTGGGCAGCACTGGTTGGCGAAGATGTGCCCGTATTCATGAGAGCATCCTGGTTTCTGAGCTATTTATCTATTTGTTCAGAGGGCTTAGTGTGAGTTTACATCAAAAGTCGTCTCTAGCGAGCGCGTTAAAAATATGAAGATTTTAGTTCTTGAAAGTTTCCGCTAGGGGCGCTGTACAATCCGTCATACATTTAATGTCACTTTTTTATGCAGTCGACATCGAATGCGTTTGACGTAAACTCCCCCCCTTGAACATGAAGAAACACGTTTAAAATTATATTTCTGTACAAAATAACTCTGGTGCTACTTTTTTAAAAGCAAAGGTATGGGAGTATTTTTAAGATAGTAGCTACCTACTATCTTATTATTATTAATGTAAGAATCTTAATTTTTTAAGCAATTTAGTACTTACACAAAATAATTATCATTACTACAAAATAATTCGTTACTAAATTGGCTACAAGGCAATTTCAATGTAAATTAATTATTACCTTAACAATAGTGGTAAAATTAATGAGAATATAACAACAACCCCAATTAATTAACACTTAAGGACTCGCTAATGGGTCCAACGGACCCAGTACTTAAATTTTTGTGTAATAACTTTTAAAGTTTGACGTTTTCGATGTTGTCGCTATTAGTACCTTTGCACGACATTGTAGCACAGCTAATAGCGGTCATAATCGTCAAATAGCCCACTGCATGTGATTGCTACAGACGAAAAATGTGTTTTTGAGTCCACTGGACCCGGTAAACAAAGTGAATTTTTTAATGTTTTATAGTAATTTCTCATTAATTGTCAATTGGTATAAGTAGACAAATCATAGTAGTTTACGAAAATAAAAAAGGATTTTTTTAAATAAT